CTCTGCACTCAGTGTCCTCCACTCCTCTCTGCCATTCCCTCCACTGACCTCTGCATTCAGTGCCTCTGCACTCAGTGTCCCCCTCTCTGCCATTCCCTCCACTGGCCTCCATTCAGTCTCCACTCCTCTCTGCCAATCCCTCCACATTCTGTATTCTTGTAGATCACGGGGGATCCTGTAATTGGGGGATGTGTAAAATTCTCGTCCCGTTTTTCCCCTCCAGCCCCCCTCCGTCAGTCACACAGCAGCCATTTTCTTTTATAAACAAAGTCTTTATTGAGTTATTGACAAGAATCGCTCAGTCGTATTGGCGGTGCATACGATCGATGTACACTGATTTCCCGGGCTGGACAGTGGCTCACAGTGTTTTCATTGCTTCATCTGGGGTACAATGTAAACGAAGGGGCTCAGACAACAGATAGGAGGAAGTTGGGGGCCCGGCTCACTGTCACCAGGGGCCCTTAGTCCTCTATAATGTGACATGAAGTGCTGGTGAGGGGTAGAAGACTACAGACAACAAAGTCACCCTCAGCTCCCCAAATCCTCTGTAAACGTGGGGGGGCCCTCCGGGGTCTCTCCTTTGGGCCGGGACTATGGGGACCATACCTACCTGTGGCCCCCAGGGCAGGCACAGCGATGGCACACAGCCGCCTACTGGCACTGACCTGCTCAGGATAACCAACTGCCAGCACCTGGATGTCCCCATTGGGGGATGGGCCGCCACTGAGGGGAGGTTCTATTGATGAGAAAAATCGTGGTGCGCGTCCACCATCCCAGGAATCTGCCCCCTGCGTTTCCCAGAACTGGCAGAAAGTGGATTCATCGCCCATCCATTGTCCTCCATTCAGAACGCAACGTAACGGGCGATATCACGCTGGGGGGCCCCTGCCTGAACCCCAACACTCATGGGGTCCCTCAACTCTGCCATCCATAGAGGACATGGAGGTGATGGCGGTGTACACTGTGGGTGTCTCTGCCTAGAGGGGTGTGACAGATGACAGATATTCCTGAGCCCCGGGGTCCCCGGATTGTGTCCTTCAATGGATGAGTCCAAGGATGGCGGCTGCCCAGAATCCGGACTCAGTGCTGCCCCCGAAGGCCTGGCTCATCTGGCTGCACTGGGCAGGGATTGGTTATTAGAAGACCCCCAGAAACCAGCATACAAGTCTCTCCCCCGGCTGACATCGAATGCCCACTCAATCTACACACTGCGCTGTCTGTAGCATTGGCAACTTCACATAGACTGGCAAGACTGGAGTAAAATAGAAAGGGATTGGCTGGTGCTAATGGTGGGTGGGGATTGGCTGGTGCTAATGGTGGGTGGGGATTGGCTGGTAATGAAATGTGCTCAATAATACATCTACAGTGAAGGAAATGTGTATCTGCCCCCCTCTGATGCTGAATATTCGCCCCTCACACAGAAACGATCGGTCTAACAATGGAATGTTCGCCCCTCACACAGAAATGATCGGTCTAACAATGGAATGTTCGCCCCTCACACAGAAATGATCGGTCTAACAATGGAATGTTCGCCCCTCACACAGAAATGATCGGTCTAACAATGGAATGTTCGCCCCTCACACAGAAACGATCGGTCTAACAATGGAATGTTCGGTGTAACACTGAGAGACAGAATACAGCAACAAATTCAGCAGAAATGCGTCTAACAAATGATGACGGATCTGCATGTTCATGAGGGAAAGAAGGATTTGATCCCCTTCACAAAACATGACTTAGTACTTGGTGGCCAATCCCTTGTTGGCCATCACAGAGGTCAGACGTTTCCTGGAGTTGGCCCCCAGGTTCGCACACACATCTCAGGAGGGATTTTGGCCCACTCCTCTTGGCAGATCCTCTCCAAGTCATTAAGGTTCGGTGGCTGACGTTTGGCAACTCGAACTTTCAGCTCCTCCACAGATTTTCCATCGGATGAAGGTGTGGAGACTGGCTCGGCCACTCCAGGACCTTAATGTGCTTCTTCTTGAGCCGCTCCTTTGTTGCCTTGGCCGTGTGTTTTGGGTCATTGTCATGCTGGAACACCCATCCCCCACCCATTTTCAATGCCCTGGCTGAGGGAAGAAGGTTCTCACCCAAGATTTGAGGGTACATTGCCCCGTCCATCGTCCCTTTGATGCGGGGCAGTTGTCCTGTCCCCTTAGCAGAAAAACACCCCCAAAGCAGAATGTTTCCAGCACCATGTTTCACAGTTGGGATGGTGTTCTTGGGGTCATAGGCAGCATTCCTCCTCCTCCAAACACGGCGAGTTGAGTTGATGCCAAAGAGCTGGATTTTGGTCTCCTCTGACCACAACACTTCCCACCAGTCCTCCTCGGCATCATTCAGATGTTCAGTGGCAGACTTCAGACGGGCCTGGACATGTGCTTTCTTGAGCAGAGGGACCGTGCGGGGGCACTGCAGGATTTCAGTCCTTGTCGGCGTAGTGTGTTACCAATTGTTTTCTTGGTGACTGTGGTCCCAGCTGCCTGGAGATCATTGACAAGATCCTCACGTGTAGTTCTGGGATGATTCCTCACTGTTCTCATGATCATGACACTCCACGAGGTGAGATCTTGCATGGTGCACCAGACCTAGGGAGACTGACACTTGTTTTGTGTTTCTTCCATTTGTGAATGATTGCACCAACTGTTGTCACCTTCTCACCAAGCTGCTTGGCCATAGTTTGGTAGCCCAGTCCAGCCTTGTGTAGGTCTACCATCTTGTCCCTGACATCCTTGGACAGCTCTTTGGTCTTTGCCATGGTGGAGAGTTTGGAATCTGATGGTTTGATGGCTCCTGTGGACAGGTGTCTTTTATACAGGTAACACAATGAGATTAGCAGCACTCCCTTTAAGAGACTGCTTCTAATCTCAGCTTGTTACCTGTATGAGAGACACCTGGGAGCCAGAAATCCTGCTGAATGATAGGGGATCAAATCCTTCTTTCCCTCATGAACATGCAGATCCGTCATCATTTGTTAGACGCATTTCTGCTGAATTTCTTGTTGTATTCTGTCTCTCAGTGTTACACCGAACATTCCATTGTTAGACCGATCGTTTCTGTGTGAGGGGGCGAACATTGCATTATTAGACCGATCGTTTCTGTGTGAGGGGGGAACATTCCATTGTTAGACCGTTCGTTTCTGTGTGAGGGGCGAACATTCCATTGTTAGACCGTTCGTTTCTGTGTGAGGGGCGAACATTCCATTGTTAGACCGATCCGATCGTTTGTGTGTGAGGGGCGAACATTCCATTGTTAGACCGATCGTTTCTGTGAGGGGCGAACATTCCATTGTTAGACCGATCGTTTCTGTGTGAAGGGCGAACATTCCATTGTTAGACCGATCATTTCTGTGTGAGGGGCGAACATTCCATTGTTACCGACCGAACATTCCATTGTTAGACCGATCATTTCTGTGTGAGGGGCGAACATTCCATTGTTAGACCGATCATTTCTGTGTGAGGGGCGAACATTCCATTGTTAGACCGATCATTTCTGTGTGAGGGGCGAACATTCAGCATCAGCAGGGGAGCAAATACGCATTTCCTTCATTGTAGATGACGTCCTATGAGGATTGGCCTGTAGGAACCCAACCGGAAGACAGACACATGGTACTCGGAAAGGTGGGACTCCCCCCCAGGGCAGGGACCAGTTCTGGGTCAGAACACGCTGGGATTGATGTGACCCAGAACCAGTAATGGCACCCGAGGGGAGGAGCCTCTGCTGGAAGAGCATGTGCTGCATGACATGGCAGCCTGTAAAAGCCACGTGATTGTCACCGGCTCCTGGGGAAGGGGGGGGGGGGGGGGTAGGCGTGGGTTCTGCTCACAGCGGACATACATGACGACACGGACGGTACACGCCAATGTACCTGCACCCCACCCACCTGTGAATATTAGACCTAGGAAGCATTATGTCTCTGTGTCACAATCCCATCCCCCACAGGGCAGGAGCGGACGACACAGACGCAGTCAGGTGATGGGTGGTGGATGTTGATTGGCCAGGACGCTCATCCAGTGACCACACCGTTCACTAAAGTGCCAGACTGGGATCGGCCGAACGCCAACCTCAAAATACAAACCCAAAGTGAGGCTGCTGCGCTCAGCCCCCTGCCGTCCAATCACTGGCCAGAGAGCACCAGGAAAAGCTGTGCTCTGGGAGGCCAGACAGGAAGTGGGCGGCGTCCTCCAGTCCGTTACCAGCCGCTCAGCCAACTGGAAGTGAACTGATGTATCGGCAGAATGGCGCTGTCCACTTGTCTTTTTTTTTTGTCCTTTTTCGGTATCGATCGTCCAAAAATAATGTAAAAAAGTCAAATCGGTGTAAACAAAGTAACAGAATTCCAAACGACGACAACATTGACGAGAAAACAATTCTTCTGGTTTGTACACGGCACAGGTCTCTGGAGGAAGGTGATTGGCAAGCGGTGATGACATCATCACCATCACATGATATGGATGAAATGGCGCTGGCCTCGGCCTGCAAAACGTAGAACTCACAAAACGGTTTCAGCTAAAAAGGAATTTTGTCTACGAGTCTCGGAGGCGTCTTCCTTCCATGGAAGGCCACCATCGGCTCTATGATCATCTCCAAAATGAAGAGCAACCGTCCATTTCATGGAAATACCTCTTCTCTCTATACAATGAACTCTTCCCTCTCAGCCAATCAAAGCCCCCCATTGCAGGTTCCGCGAGGAGTCAGGTGGGACGGGCATGGGTGGTCACCTTGGAGCCCATCCAATCACAGAAGTCTGAGCGGACACACACAAGCCCTTTGTTGTAGGTTCATGATGTAGAAAATATTCTTCATACCACCCGTCTGCCCCAGGACCCGTCCCAGGGAAGCTCCGCCCTTTGCGTGGAACCATTATGGTGGCTTAGGGGGGGAACAGGTGGTCCTGCAGCCGGAACAATATGGAAACTTCATTGTACCAAGAGGGGTTCGGGGGGAGGGAGGGATGGCTCGGAACCCAGGAACATCAGGATGAGGAAGCCTTCCAGCCATCAAACTTCCACCGACTGGATCTGGTTCATCTGCGCCCGCATCACCTGAATACTGTTGAGGATTTTCTTCTGGTGTCCGGCCAGAGTGACCCCGACCCGGAGAATGTCCCTACCGGAGAGAAACAAAGGGTTACTGACCCCGACCCGGAGAATGTCCCTACCGGAGAGAAACAAAGGGTTACTGACCCCGACCCGGAGAATGTCCCTACCGGAGAGAAACAAAGGATTACCGACCCCGACCCGGAGAATGTCCCTACCGTAGAGAAACAAAGGATTACCAACCCCGACCCGGAGAATGTCCCTACCGGAGAGAAACAAAGGGTTTGACCGACCGGGGAGAACGTCCCTACCGGAGAGAAACAAAGGGTTTGACCCCGACCCGGAGAAATGTCCCTACCGGAGAGAAACAAAGGGTTACCGACCCCGACCCGGAGAACGTCCCTACCGGAGAGAAACAAAGGGTTACCGACCCCGACCCGGAGAATGTCCCTACCGGAGAGAAACAAAGGGTTACCGACCCGGAGAACGTCCCTACCGGAGAGAAACAAAGGGTTACCGACCCCGACCCGGAGAATGTCCCTACCGGAGAGAAACAAAGGGTTACCGACCCCGACCCGGAGAATGTCCCTACCAGAGAGAAACAAAGGGATACCGACCCGGACCATGTCCCTACCGGAGAGAAACAAAGGGTTACTGACCCCGACCCGAAGAATGTCCCTACCGGAGAGAAACAAAGGGTTACTGACCCGGAGAATGTCCCTACCGGAGAGAAACAAAGGGATTACTGACCCCGGGGCCCAGAGAATGTCCCTACCGGAGAAAAGAAAGGGTTACTGACCCCGACCCGGAGAATGTCCCTACCGGAGAGAAACAAAGGGTTACTGACCCCGACCCGGAGAATGTCCCTACCGGAGAGAAACAAAGGGATTACCGACCCCGACCCGGAGAATGTCCCTACCGGAGAGAAACAAAGGGTTACCGACCCCGACCCGGAGAATGTCCCTACCGGAGAGAAACAAAGGGTTACTGACCCCGAGCCGGAGAATACCTACCGGAGAGAAAAAAGGGTTACCAACCCCGGAGAATGTCCCTACCGGAGAGAAACAAAGGGTTACCGACCCCGGAGAATGTCCCTACCGGAGAGAAACAAAGGGTTACTGACCCCGAGCCGGAGAATGTCCCTACCGGAGAGAAAAAGGGTTACCAACCCGGAGAATGTCCCTACCGGAGAGAAACAAAGGGTTACTGACCCCGACCCGGAGAACGTCCCTACCCGAGAGAAACAAAGGGTTACCCGACCCGGAGAACATCCCTACCCGAGAGAAACAAAGGGTTACTGACCCCGACCCGGAGAATGTCCCTACCAGAGAGAAACAAAGGGTTACCAACCCCGACCCGGAGAACGTCCCTACCGGAGAGAAACAAAGGGTAACCGACCCCGACCCGGAGAATGTCCTCTACCGGAGAGAAACAAAGGGTTACTGACCCCGAGCCGGAGAATGTCCCTACCGGAGAGAAAAAAGGGTTACCAACCCGGAGAATGTCCCTACCGGAAAGAAAAAGGGTTACCAACCCGGAGAATGTCCCTACCGGAAAGAAAAAGGGTTACCAACCCGGAGAATGTCCCTACCGAGAGAAACAAAGGGTTACTGACCCCGACCCGGAGAACATCCCTACCGGAGAGAAACAAAGGGTTTACCGACCGGGAGAACGTCCCTACCGGGAGAGAAACAAAGGATTACCGACCCCGACCCGGAGAATGTCCCTACCGGAGAGAAACAAAGGATTACCGACCCCCGACCCGGAGAATGTCCCTACCGGAGAGAAAACAAAGGGTTACCGACCCCGACCCGGAGAATGTCCCTACCGGAGAGAAACAAAGGGTTACCGACCCCGAGCTGGAGAATGTCCCTACCGGAGAGAAAAAGGGTTACCGACCCGGAGAATGTCCCTACCGGAGAGAAACAAAGGGTTACTGACCCCGACGACCCGGAGAATGTCCCTACCGGAGAGAAAAAAGGGTTACCGACCCGGAGAATGTCCCTACCGGAGAGAAACAAAGGGTTACTGACCCCGAGCCGGAGAATGTCCCTACCGGAGAGAAAAAGGGTTACCGACCCGGAGAGAATGTCCCTACCGGAGAGAAACAAAGGGTTACTGACCTCGACCCGGAGAATGTCCCTACCGGAGAGAAACAAAGGGTTACCGACCCGGAGAATGTCCCTACCGGAGAGAAATAAAGGGTTACTGACCCCGAGCCGGAGAATGTCCCTACCGGAGAGAAACAAAGGGTTACTGACCCCGAGCCGGAGAATGTCCCTACCGGAGAGAAAAAAGGGTTACCAACCCGGAGAATGTCCCTACCGGAGAGAAACAAAGGGTTACTGAACCCCGACCCGGAGAACGTCCCTACCCGAGAGAAACAAAGGGTTACTGACCCCGACCCGGAGAATGTCCCTACCGGAGAGAAACAAAGGGTTACGACCCCGACCCGGAGAAATGTCCCTACCGGAGAGAAACAAAGGGTTACCGACCCCGACCCGGAGAAATGTCCCTACCGGAGAGAAACAAAGGGTTACCGACCCGGAGAACGTCCCTACCGGAGAGAAACAAAGGGTTTACCGACCCGGAGAGAATGTCCCTACCAGAGAGAAACAAAGGGTTACCGACCCGACCATGTCCCTACCGGAGAGAAACAAAGGGTTACCGACCCAGAGAGAACGTCCCTACCAGAAAGAAACAAAGGGTTACTGACCCGAGAAATGTCCCTACCGGAGAGAAAACAAAGGGTTACTGACCCCGACCCGGAGAATGTCCCTACCGGAGAGAAACAAAGGATTACTGACCCCGGGGCCCAGAGAATGTCCCTACCCGGAGAAAAAGAAAAGGGTTACTGACCACGACCCGGAGAACGTCCCTACCGGAGAGAAACAAAGGGTTTACTGACCCCGACCCGGAGAATGTCCCTACCGGAGAGAAACAAAGGATTACCGACCCCGACCCGGAGAATGTCCCTACCGGAGAGAAACAAAGGGTTACCGACCCCGGGGCCCAGAGAATGTCCCTACCGGAGAGAAAAAGAAAGGGTTACTGACCACGACCCGGAGAACGTCCCTACCGAGAGAGAAAAAGGGTTACTGACCCCGACCCGGAGAGAATGTCCCTACCGGAGAGAAACAAAGGATTACCGACCCCGACCCGGAGAATGTCCCTACCGGAGAGAAACAAAGGGTTACCGACCCCGACCCGAGAATGTCCCTACCGGAGAGAAACAAAGGGTTACCGACCCGGAGAAATGTCCCTACCGGAGAGAAACAAAGGGTTACTGACCCCGACCCGGAGAACGTCCCTACCGAGAGAAACAAAGGGTTACCGACCCGGAGAACATCCCTACCCGAGAGAAACAAAGGGTTACTGACCCCCGACCCGGAGAATGTCCCTACCGGAGAGAAACAAAGGGTTACCAACCCCGACCCGGAGAACGTCCCTACCAGAGAGAAACAAAGGGTAACCGACCCCGACCCGGAGAATGTCTCTACCGGAGAGAAACAAAGGGTTACTGACCCCGAGCCGGAGAATGTCCCTACCGGAGAGAAACAAAGGGTTACTGACCCTGAGCCGGAGAATGTCCCTACCGGAGAGAAAAAGGGTTACCAACCCGGAGAATGTCCCTACCGGAGAGAAACAAAGGGTTACCCCATCCGGAGAATGTCCCTACCGAGAGAGAAACAAAGGGTTACTGACCCCGAGCCGGAGAATGTCCCTACCGGAGAGGAAAAAGGGTTACTGACCCCCGGAGAATGTCCCTACCGGAGAGAAAAAAGGGTTACCAACCCGGAGAATGTCCCTACCGGAGAGAAACAAAGGGTTACTGACCCCGACCCGGAGAACGTCCCTACCGGAGAGAAAAAGGGTTACCAACCCGGAGAACGTCCCTACCGGAGAGAAACAAAGGATTACCGACCCCCGACCCGGAGAATGTCCCTACCGGAGAGAAAACAAAGGATTACCGAACCCCGACCCGGAGAATGTCCCTACCGGAGAGAAACAAAGGGTTACCGACCCCGACCCGGAGAATGTCCCTACCGGAGAGAAACAAAGGGTTACCGACCCGGAGAATGTCCCCTACCGGAGAGAAAAAGGGTTACCAACCCGGAGAATGTCCCTACCGGAGAGGAACAAAGGGTTACTGACCCCGACCCGGAGAAACGTCCCTACCGGAGAGAAACAAAGGATTACCGACCCCGACCCGGAGAATGTCCCTACCGGAGAGAAACAAAGGATTACCGACCCCGACCCGGAGATGTCCCTACCGGAGAGAAACAAAGGGTTACCGACCCCCGACCCGGAGAATGTCCCTACCGGAGAGAAACAAAGGGTTATCGACCCGGAGAATGTACCCTACTGGAGAGAAACAAAGGGTTACTGACCCCGAGCCGGAGAATGTCCCTACCGGAGAGAAAAAGGGTTACCAACCCGTCCCCCTGGGACCCTACCGGAGAGAAACAAAGGGTTACCGACCCGGAGAATGTCCCTACCGGAGAGAAACAAAGGGTTACTGACCCCGAGCCGGAGAATGTCCCTACCGGAGAGAAAAAGGGTTACCAACCCGGAGAATGTCCGAAAGAGAGAAAGGGAGAACCGGAGAGAAAACAAAGGGTTACTGACCCCAACCCGGAGAACGTCCCTACCCGAGAGAAACAAAGGGTTACCGACCCGGGAACATCCCTACCCGAGAGAAACAAAGGGGTTACTGACCCCGACCCGGAGAATGTCCCTACCGGAGAGAGAAACAAAGGGTTACCAACCCCGACCCGGAGAATAAAACGTCCCTACCAGAGAGAAACAAAGGGTAACCGACCCCGACCCGGAGAATGTCTCTACCGGAGAGAAACAAAGGGTTACTGACCCCGAGCCGGAGAATGTCCCTACCGGAGAGAAACAAAGGGTTACTGACCCCGAGCCGGAGAATGTCCCTACCGAGAGAGAAAAAGAGGTTACCAACCCGGAGAATGTCCCTACCGGAGAGAAACAAAAGGTTACTGACCCAGACCCGGAGAACGTCCCTACCGGGAGAGAAACAAAGGGTTACCGACCCCGACCCCGGAGAATGTCCCTACCGGAGAGAAACAAAGGATTACCGACCCTGACCTGAGAATGTCCCTACCGGAAAGAAACAAAGGGTTACTGACCCCGAGCCAGAGAATGTCCTACCGGAGAGAAAAAGGGTTACCAACCCGGAGAATGTCCCTACCGGAGAGAAACAAAGGGGTTACTTGACCCCGACCCGGAGAACGTTCCCTACCCGAGAGAAACAAAGGGTTACCCATCCGGAGAATGTCCCTACTGGAGAGAAACAAAGGGTTACTGACCCCAAGCCGGAGAATGTCCCTACCGGAGAGAAAAAGGGTTACCAACCCGGAGAATGTCCCTACCGGAGAGAAACAAAGGGTTACTGACAACCCCGACCCGGAGAACGTCCCTACCAGAGAGAAACAAAGGGTAACCGACCCCGACCCGGGGAGAATGTCTCTACCGGAGAGAAACAAAGGGTTACTGACCCCGAGCCGGAGAATGTCCCTACCGGAGAGAAAAAGGGTTACCAACCCAGAGAATGTCCCTACCGGAGAGAAACAAAGGGTTACTGGCCCCGACCCGGAGAACGTCCCTACCGGAGAGAAACAAAGGGTTACTGACCCCGAGCCGGACAATGTCCCTACCGGAGAGAAAAAGGGTTACCAACCCGGAGAATGTCCCTAACCGGAGAGAAACAAAGGGTTACTGACCCCGACCCGGAGAACGTCCCTACCCGAGAGAAACACAAAGGGTTACCGACCCGGAGAACATCCCTACCCGAGAGAAACAAAGGGTTACTGACACCCGACCCGAGAGAATGTCCCTACCGGAGAGAAACAAAGGGTTACCGACCCCGACCCGGAGAATGTCTCTACCGGAGAGAAACAAAGGGTTTACTGACCCCGACCCGGAGAACGTCCCTACCAAGAGAAACAAAGGGTTACCCATCCGGAGAATGTCCCTACTGGGAGAGAAACAAAGGGTTACTGACCCCAAGCCGGAGAATGTCCCTACCGGAGAGAAAAAGGGTTACCAACCCGGAGAATGTCCCTACCGGAGAGAAACAAAGGGTTACTGACCCGACCCGGAGAATGTCTCTACCGGAGAGAAACAAAGGGTTACTGACCCCGAGCCGGAGAATGTCCCTACCGGAGAGAAAAAGGGTTACCAACCCGGAGAATGTCCCTACCGGAGAGAAACAAAGGGTTACTGGCCCCGACCCGGAGAACGTCCCTACCGGAGAGAAACAAAGGGTTACTGACCCCGAGCCGGAGAATGTCCCTACTGGAGAGAAAAAGGGTTACCAACCCGGAGAATGTCCCTACCGGAGAGAAAAAGGGTTACCAACCCGGAGAATGTCCCTACCGGAGAGAAACAAAAGGGTTACTGACCCCGACCCGGAGAACGTCCCTACCCGAGAGAAACAAAGGGTTACCGACCCGGAGAACATCCCTACCCGAGAGAAACAAAGGGTTACTGACCCCGACCCGGAGAATGTCCCTACCGGAGAGAAACAAAGGGTTACCGACCCCGACCCGGAGAATGTCTCTACCGGAGAGAAACAAAGGGTTACTGACCCCGAGCCGGAGAATGTCCCTACCGGAGAGAAACAAAGGGTTACCTGACCCCGAGCCGGAGAATGTCCCTACCGGAGAGAAAAAGGGTTACCAACCCGGAGAATGTCCCTACCGGAGAGAAAAAGGGTTACCAACCCGGAGAATGTCCCTACCGGAGAGAAACAAAGGGTTACCCAACTCCGACCCGGAGAACGTCCTACCAGAGAGAAACAAAGGGTAACCGACCCCGACCCGGAGAATGTCTCTACCGGAGAGAAACAAAGGGTTACTGACCCCGAGCCGGAGAATTTCCCTACCGGAGAGAAAAAAAGGGTTACCAACCCGGAGAATGTCCCTACCGGAGAGAAACAAAAGGGTTACTGCCCCGACCCGGAGAACGTCCCTACCGGAGAGAAACAAGGGGTTACTGACCCCGAGCTGGAGAATGTCCCTACCGGAGAGAGAAAAAGGGTTACCAACCCGAGAATGTCCCTACCAGAGAGAAAAAGGGTTACCAACCCGGAGAACATCCCTACCCGAGAGAAACAAAGGGTTACTGACCCCGACGCGGAGAATGTCCCTACCGGAGAGAAACAAAGGGTTACCGACCCCGACCCGGAGAATGTCTCTACCGGAGAGAAACAAAGGGTTACTGACCCCGAGCCGGAGAATGTCCCTACCGGAGAGAAACAAAGGGTTACCGACCCCGACCCGGAGAATGTCTCTACCGGAGAGAAACAAAGGGTTACTTGACCCCGAGTCGGAGAATGTCCCTACCGGAGAGAAAAAGGATTACCAACCCGAAGAATGTCCCTACCAGAGAGAAACAAAGGGTTACCCATCCGGAGAATGTCCCTACCGGAGAGAAACAAAGGGTTACCGACCCGGAGAATGTCCCTACCGGAGAGAAACAAAGGGTTACTGACCCGACCCGGAGAACGTCCCTACCGAGAGAAACAAAGGGTTACCGACCCGGAGAACATCCCTACCCGAGAGAAACAAAGGGTTACTGACCCCGACCCGGAGAATGTCCCTACCGGAGAGAAACAAAGGGTTACCAACCCCGACCCGGAGAACGTCCCTACCAGAGAGAAACAAAGGGTAACCGACTCCGACCCGAAGAATATCCCTATCGGAGAGAAACAAAGGGTTACTGACCCCCGACCCGAAGAATATCCCTATCGGAGAGAAACGAAGGGTTACTGACCCCGACCCAGAGAGAAACAAAGGGTTACTGACCCCGACCCGGAGAATGTCCCTACCGGAGAGAAACAAAGGGTTTACCCGACCCAGAGAACGTCTCTACCGGAGAGAAACAAAGGATTACTGACCCCGACCCGGAGAATGTCCCTACCGGAGAGAAACAAAGGGTTACTGACCCCGACCCCCGGAGAAAGTCCCTACCGGAGAGAAACAAAGGGTTACCGACCCCAACCCAGAGAACGTCTCTACCGGGAGAAACAAAGGATTACTGACCCCGACCCGGAGAATGTCCCTACCGGAGAGAAACAAAGGGTTACTGACCCCGACCCGGAGACCAAGCCCCTACCGGAGAGAAACAAAGGGTTACTAACCCTTCCCATACACCAATCCCCAATATGACCGGCCCCTCCCCATACACCAACCCCCAATATGACCGACCCCGGCCCCTCTCCATATACGCCAACCCCCAATACCGGACCGGCCCCTCCCCATACGCCAACCCCCAATACGACGACCGGCCCCCCTACCCAACCCCCAATACGACCGGCCCGTCCCCATACGCCAACCCCAAATACGACCGGCCCCTCCCCATACGCCAACCCCCAATATGACCGGCCCCTCCCCATATTCCAACGCTCAGTATGACCAGCCCCTCCCCATACACCAACGCCTAATGGGACCGGCTCCTCCCCATACGCCAACGCCCAATATGACCGTTTCCTCCCCATACAACAACGTCCAATATGACCGGCTACTCCCCATACGCCAACCCCCAATATGACCGGCCCCTCCCCATACGCCAACCCCCAATATGAGCGGCTCCTCCCCATACACAAACCCCCAATGGGACCGGCCCCTCCCCATACGCCAACCCCCAATATATATATTCATAGTGTGAGGTTGTGTTGGGGATATTAGAGTGTCAGCTCTTGTGGTGGCTCAATGATCTCTGTACAGAGCTCTGGTATATGTTGGGCAGTCCGGAGGCACTCAGTAGCTGTGGCCCTGGACAGGTCTGGAGTTGCCGTGTTTTCTTTGTGAGGCATTGATGGACCAGCTGTGTGATTTTTTACACTCGCAGTGCAGGGTAAATATCTGGTTTAGCGCAGACAATGGCCTCTGAGCCGCGTGCCTACTGTGTATCTACAATACAGAAAAGCCTCCTGAATAGATGCCTGCACTGTGCCAGCTCTGACAGCGGGAGGCGCTCTTCCTAGCAGGGCGCTCTGTGGGGGAACTTCAGAGACAACCCCTCGTCCTCAGATATCGGAGGAGTTCGGTCACGTTATCCAAATCCCCTGTGTAGTCCTCACCGGACTGGAGGCTCCACAGACAGAACCTGGAAAGGTCTCGCCTGATGCTGTGAGGTCTGAGAATGGCAGCTTCCATCAGAAGCTTCTGAAGACAGTTACCCGGCTGTATGACTTGTTCCCTTCAAAGAGGACCTGTCACCGACTTATGAGTGTTCCCCTGAACCCCAGAAGCTTCAAGCCCCAGTTGTGTCTCTTGTTCCCAATGAAGGACCAGTTATGTTTATTAGGAGCATTTCCACCGTCCCCAACCCCCACAGACCCCCAATCTCCACCCCACCCCCATACGTACTCCATGGTCATCTGAGACACAACATCGAAGGAGGTGAATCCGGCATTGGCAAAGCTCTCCTTGTATTGTCCCATCTTGATGGCATCCAGCCACTCGTCCACCGTGTTGAAGCTGGTGTAATCGGGGACGGTGCGGTCCAGGAGAGGTAGGTTCACCCTGGAGGAGACAGAAACAGGTGAGTCCTCAGGATGAGCTTCATTGGTGTACCTCAGGAATTGTAACTTCCTATAACAGCCTTCGTAACCCCACAGGAACCTTTCAAATCATTTTCAGGTGTCAGGGACCCCCAGTGAAGATTAGTACACCAGGGATCATAAGGAAATGTCCCTCACATTGGTGGCCATTGGTTAGACTGTCCCTCGCATTGGTGGCTATTGGTCAGACAGTCCCTCACATTGGTGGCCATTGGTCAGAATGTCCCTCACATTGGTGGCCATTGGTCAGAATATCTCTCACATTGGTGGCCATTAGGAAAAAAAACCCTAACATTGGTGCCCATTGGTCAGACTGTCCCTCACATTGGTGGCCATTAGGAAAATACCCTTAACTTTGGTGGCCGTTGGTCAGATTGTCCCTCACATTGGTGGCCGTTGGTCAGATTGTCCCTCACATTGGTGGCCGTTGGTCAGATTGTCCCTCACATTGGTGGCCGTTGGTCAGATTGTCCCTCACATTGGTGGCCGTTGGTCAGATTGTCCCTCACATTGGTGGCCGTTGGTCACATTGGTGGATTGTCCCTCACATTGGTGGCCGTTGGTCAGATTGTCCCTCACATTGGTGGCCGTTGGTCAGATTGTCCCTCACATTGGTGGCCGTTGGTCAGATTGTCCCTCACATTGGTGGCCGTTGGTCAGATTGTCCCTCACATTGGTGGCAGTTGGTCAGATTGTCCCTCACATTGGTGGCCGTTGGTCAGAATGTCCTCTTTGCAGCTATTGGTGTCATGCTACCAGCTCTGCCAAGTAGTGATGGACCTGGAACTATGAAGGCATCGTCAGGTAGGAGGTCAATCAGCCACCCCTAGAGGAGGAACTCTGGCTGCCCTATAATAGAGGACAGGAAGACACAGACATGATGACCGTATACTGTACCTGCCAACAATTACCACAATGTACTAAAAGCTGCCCGGGACCCTAAACGATGACTCCCCCCCCCCCCCCCCCACAATGTACTAAGAGCTGCCCGGGACCCTAAACGATGACTCCCCCCCCCACAATGTACTAAGAGCTGCCCGGGACCCTAAACGATGACTCCCCCCCCCCCCACAATGTACTAAGAGCTGCCCGGGACCCTAAACGATGACTCCCCCCCCCCCCACAATGTACTAAGAGCTGCCCGGGACCCTAAACGATGACTCCACCCCCCCCCCCACAATGTACTAAGAGCTGCCCGGGGACCCTAAACGATGACTCCCCCCCCCCACAATGTACTAAGAGCTGCCCGGGACCCTAAACAATAAGTCCCGTCCCCCCCCATGCCGGTCACTATGGAGGACTGCTCGCAGTGTGGCTTTATTACGACAGCTGACAGCACACCGCACGTGTCGGAGGGATTCTGGGGGACCCGCCAGCATGGAGATCAGAGAGAGAATATCTGCAGAATTCTGGGATAATTCCCACCATCTGCACTCCTCACCCCCCCGGGTACAGCTCATCGTCATGTCTGCAGAACGTTGGGTGGCCCATGGCTCAGTACTTACCCCGAGGACAGAGGGGCCATGGCCTTCAAGCTGTTGGGATTTCGAATCATTTTGTCCAAGGTGTTGACTATCTGAGCAAACTTGGGCCGGTGATTGCGGTCCTTCTGCCAGCAGTCCAGCATGAGCTGGTGAAGAGCGTTGGGACAATCCATTGGTGGCGGCAGGCGGTAATCCTGCTCAATGGCATTTATAACCTGCAAGACATGAGTGAGCTGATGACTCAGAAACAAGATGGCGGCAGTAACACGCTCCAGCGTTGGGGAGAATCCAGGAACATCACAACCTATACAGTCCATACACAGGACGGGGTTCAGAAGGCGGCTCCTTCCAGGAACCTTTAATTGGATCTCCGTATGTGGCGGGATTAGTCTCCATTTCTGAACAATAAGATCATTAGCGGGGGAGGGGGGATGGGTGCCGGACCCTCCTCATCGTTCCGTCTGCCAGTCTGCATCACACCTCGGGGTCAGAGTGTTAATGAGATGAGCGTAGCGCAATCACTGATAGGACGGGATTCGGGGGGCGCCAACACACTAATGGAACCGCCAACCGGAATTAAATCCATCCTAATCTCATTTACGGGTTAGTTGTATGAAAATTCCATCAGTGGAGACTCCGCTCTGCCCACCCCCTCCACCCCTCCAGCTGCCGACATAGCTACTTACATCCTGATTGGTCATATCCCAGTATGGCCGCTCTCCATAGGACATCACCTCCCACATGACTATGCCGTAACTCCACACATCGCTGGCCGAGGTAAACTTCCGGTACTGAATGGCTTCCGGGGCCGTCCACCGAATGGGGATCTTCCCGCCCTGGAAGAAACATAGGTCAGTCCAAACATGTCCGCCCCCCCCCCCCCCGACACGTTCATCCTCGTCCCCCCCCCCCACCCCCAACACATCCACCCCACCCGACACGTCCATCCTCGTCCCCCCACCCCCCAACACATCCATCCTCGTCCCCCCCCACCCCCAGCACATCCACCCCCCCCCCCCCCCCCCGACACGTCCATCCTTGTCCCCCCACCCCCAACACATCCACCCCTCCCCCCCCCCCCCTCCCCCGACACGTCCACGTCCCTCGCCCCCCCACCCCCAACATCCCATCCCCCCCCCCACTACCGAATGGGGATCTTCCCGCCCTGGAAGAAACATAGGTCAGTCCAAACATGTCCGCCCCCCCCCCTGACCCTGACACGTTCATCCTCGTCCCCCCCCCCCCCCAACACATCCACCCCACCCGACACGTCCATCCTCGTCCCCCCACCCCCAACACATCCATCCTTGTCCCCCCCACCCCCAGCACATCCACCCCACCCCCCCCCCCCGACACGTCCATCCTTGTCCCCCCACCCCCAGCACATCCACCCCCCCCCCCCCCCCGACACGTCCATCCTTGTCCCCCCACCCCCAACACATCCACCCCACCCCCCCCCTCCCCCACACGTCCATCCTCGCCCCCCCCACCCCCAACACATCCACCCCCACTACTGAATGGGGATCTTCCCGCCCTGGAAGAGACACAGGTCAGTCCAAACATGTCCACCCCCCCCCCCCCCCGACACATTCATCCTCGTCCCCCCCCCACCCCCGACACATCCACCCCGCCCCCCCCACCCCCCCACATCCACCCCCACTACCAAATGGGGATCCACCCCGCCCTCCCCACCCCACAGGTCAGTCCATCCATCACCACCCCCCCCCCCCCCCCCCCCGACACGTCCATCCTCGTCCCCCCACCCCCAACACATCCATCCTCGTCCCCCCACCCCCCAGCACATCCACCCCACCCCCCCCCGACACATCCATCCTTGTCCCCCCACCCCCAACACATCCACCCCACCCCCCCTCCCCCGACACGTCCATCCTCGCCCCCCCCACCCCCAACACATCCACCCCCACTACCGAATGGGGATCTTCCTGCCCTGGAAGAGAAACATAGGTCAGTCCAAACATGTCCACCCCCCCCCCCCCCCGACACGTTCATCCTCGTCCCCCCACCCCCCCAACACATCCCCCCCCACCCGACACGTCCATCCTCGTCCCCACCCCCCACCCCCAACACATCCATCCTTGTCCCCCCACCCCCAGCACATCCACATCCACCCCACCCCCCCGACACCCGTTCATCCTCGTCCCCCCACCCCCAACACATCCACCCCACCCGACACGTCCATCCTTGTCCCCCCGCCCCCCAACACATCCATCCTTGTCCCCCCACCCCCCAGCCCATCCCCCCACCCCCCCCCGTTCACGTCCATCCTTGTCCCCCCCCCCCAACACATCCACCCCACCCCCCCCCACCCCCGACACGTCCATCCTCGCCCCCCCACCCCCAACACATCCACCCCCACTACCGAATGGGGATCTTCCCGCCCTGGAAGAGACACAGGTCAGTCCAAACATGTCCGCCCCCCCCCCGACACGTTCATACTCGTCCCCCCCCCCAACACATCCACCCTCGCCCCCCCACCCCAACACATCCACCCCACCCCGACACATCCACCCTTGTCCCCCCCCCCCCCCGACACGTCCACCCTCGTCCCCCCCCCCCCGACACGTCCACCCCGTCCCCCCCCACCCCGACACATCCACCCTCCCCCCATCCCCCAGCACATCCACCCCACCCCCCCCGACACATCCACCCTCATCCCCCCACCCCGACACATCCACCCCAACCCCGACACATCCACCCTTGTCCCCCCCACCCCCGACACGTCCACCCTCGTCCCCCCACCCCCCGACACGTCCACCCTCGTCCCCCCCACCCCGACACATCCACGTCGACCCTCGTCCCCCCCCCCGACATGTCCACCCTCCCCCCCCCACCCCCGACACGTCCACCCTCGTCCCCCCACCCCCGACACGTCCACCCTCGTCCCCCCACCCCTGACACATCCACCCCACACCCCCACACCAAATGGGGATCTTCCTGCCCTGGAAGAAACATAGGTCAGTCCAAACATGTCCATGGCGGTGATAAGATGGGCGCAGGGGGAGCTAGTGACGGGATGGGGGGGGGGGGGGGGTCGGTGATGTGATCGGCGGGGGGGTCAGTGATGGGATCGGCGCAGGGGGAGTCAGTGATGGGATCGGCGCAGGGGAGAGTCGGTGATGGGATCGGCGCGGGGGGGGGGGGGGGTCGGTGATGGGATCGGCGCAGGGGGGGGAGGGTCGGTGATGGGATCGGCGCAGGGGGGGGGAGGGTCGGTGATGGGATCGGCGCGGGGGGGGAGGGTCGGTGATGGGATCGGCGCAGGGGAGGGGGGGTCGGTGATGGGATCGTGCGAGTGTGGGGGGGGGGGGGGGGTCGGTGATGGGATCGGCGCAGGGGGGGGGGGTCGGTGATGGGATCAGCGCAGGGGAGGGGGGGGGGGTGTCGGTGATGGGATTGGCGCAGGGGGGGGGGGGGTTCGGTGATGGGATCAGCGCAGGCGCAGGGGGGGGGGGGGGGGGTCGGTGATGGGATTCGGCGCAGGGGAGAGGGGGGACGTGGTCGGTGATGGGATCGGCGCAGGGGAGGGGGGGGTGGGGATCAGGGGGGGGGGGGGGTCGGTGATGGGATCAGCGCAGGGGAGGGTCGGTGATGGGATGGGGAGGGGGGTGTGTGATGGGATCACTGACCAGGAAGTCGGCTGTACACAGAAAATGGACAGAGGTGGCGGGATTTCTTTGTATTTATGGGGTGTTCCGGCACTGTGAGCGCCCCTCCATGTTTATTACAGAAGATGGCGCTCTCCAGATGTCCCACCAGAAGGACTGATATTTTGGGGTCTCCCCGTGAAGGGACTGATATTTTGGGGTCTCCTCCGTGAAGGACTGATATTTTGGGGTCTCCTCCCTGAAGGACTGATATTTTGGGGTCTCCTCCCTGAAGGACTGATATTTTGGGGTCTCCTCCCTGAAGGACTGATATTTTGGGGTCTCCTCCCTGAAGGACTGATATTTTGGGGTCTCCTCCCTGAAGGACTGATATTTTGGGGTCTCCTCCCTTGGGCTGCCTCCTGGAAGGTCGCTGTACTCGCTGCAATCCTCCGTCCTCGGCTGACAATTAATAGACAATTGCAGGGTGATGACAGAGAGGATCAGAGAACACAGAGAGGCTGGGAGGACGGGCCCCGGGGTCAGCAGGGGCCCCGCAGTCTGTCAGTAACTGGCAGAGTGGAGAGCCGGGCCGAGTATGAGAAATACGTGAGATTCCTTCCAGAGACGAGACGTCACCCAAACCTGCTGTGTGCAGAACACAGGGAAATGATTGGACCGACCCGGGATGGGGGTACCACCTACAGGGGGCGCTATACTGGACCCAAAACCCCAATATATATACATCATATATCTGACCTGGGATGGGGGTTTAGGAGAAATGCATGATGGGTAACGTGTACTGAATACTGAGGCACTTCCTGGCCAGTAGAGCTTACACTCTGCTCTGTGTAGGGTGAAGTCTACTCCCCGTCCTCAGATGTGAGGTGAGGAGGATTATGGGAAGGACTACTGGTGACAAGTGGGAAATGATGAGTCCAGAGCGAGGACCGCCACTTCCTGGCCAGGATCCATCCCACCACGCTGGGTGAGAAAGGTGACGGGTCCAGACAACCAGCGGGACGCACGCCGGGCCTCCTCCTCACACAACCAGTGGTACCCACGCCGGGCCTCCTCCTCACACAACCAGCGGGACGCACGCGGGCCTCCTCCTCACACAACCAGCGGGACGCACGCCGGGCCTCCTCCTCACACAACCAGCGGGACGCACGCCGGGCCTCCTCCTCACACAACCAGCGGGACGCACGCCGGGCCTCCTCCTCACACAACCAGCGGGACGCACGCCGGGCCTCCTCCTCACACAACCAGCGGGACGCACGCCGGGCCTCCTCCTCACACAACCAACGGGACGCACGCCGGGCCTCCTCCTCACACAACCAGCGGACCACGCCGGGCCCTCCTCCTCACACAACCAGCGGGACGCACGCCGGGCCCTCCTCCTCACACAACCAACGGGACCCACACGCCGGGCCGCCCCTCCTCCCTCACACAACCAGCGGGACGCACGCCGGGCCTCCTCCTCACACAACCAGCGGGACGCACGCCGGGCCTCCTCCTCACCCCACCCCCACCACGGGACACACGCCGGGCCTCCTCCTCACACAACCAGCGTCTCGCACACCGGGCCTCCTCCTCACACAACCAGGACACACGCCGGGCCCTACCACACAACCAGCGGGACACACGCCCGGCCTCCTCCTCACACAACCAGTGGTACCCACGCCGGGCCTCCTCCTCACACAACCAGCGGGACACACGCCGGGACCTCCTCCTCACACAACCAGCGGGACGCACGCCGGGCCTCCTCCTCGCACAACCAGTGGTACCCACGCCGGGCCTCCTCCTCGCACAACCAGCGGGACACACGCCGGGCCTCCTTCCTCACACAACCAGCGGGACGCACGCCGGGCCTCCTCCTCACACAACCAGTGGTACCCACGCCGGGCCTCCTCCTCACACAACCAGCGGGACACACGCCGGACCTCCTCCTCACACAACCAGCGGGACGCACGCCGGGCCTCCCTCACACAACCAGCGGGACGCACGCCGGGCCTCCTCCTCACACAACCAGTGGTACCCACGCCGGGCCTCCTCCTCACACAACCAGTGGTACCCACGCCGGGCCTCCTCCTCACACAACCAGCGGGGACACACGCCGGGCCTCCTCCTCACACAACCAGGACACACGCCGGGCCTCCTCCTCACACAACCAGCGGGACACACGCCGGGCCTCCTCCTCTCACACAACCAGCGGGACACACTGGACCTCCTCCTCACACACGCCGGGCCTCCTCCTCACACAACCAGCGGGACACACACCGGGCCTCCTCCTCACACAACCATCGGGACGCACGCCGGGCCTCCTCCTCACACAACCAGTGGTACCCACGCCGGGCCTCCTCCTCCACACAACCAGCGGGACACACGCCGGGCCTCCTCCTCACACAACCAGCGTCTCGCACACCGGGCCTGCCCTCCTCACACAACCCGCCCCACCGGGCCTCCTCCTCACACAACCATCGGGACGCACGCCGGGCCTCCTCCTCACACAACCAGCGGGACGCACGCCGGGCCTCCTCCTCACACGGCCGGAATACGAGCCAGACGGGGGTGTGTGATCGCCTGGCTGCTGGTTAATGGGGTGTGAACACGGGGCGAGCGATTGTACATTCACAGCACTTCAATTTCAGGCTCATTTTACACCGCTATCACCCTCTACTCTGAACATGGAATCGGCTTCGATGGATTGCTCCGCCCACAAAGAGGCAGAGTAATTGCATCATAATTCTGGGACACACCCCTCCCGGACACATCCAATCTAATGGGGACCAGTATGGTACTCACCAGGGCGCTGGTATACGTGGGGTCAGAGGTGTCGTCCTCCAGGAAGCGCGACAACCCAAAGTCAGAGACTTTACACACCAGATTGCTGTTCACCAAGATGTTCCGAGCCGCCAGGTCCCGGTGCACGTAATTCATGTCCGCCAAGTACTTCATACCGGCGGCAATCCCCCGCAGCATGCCCACCAGCTGGATCACCGTGAACTGGCCGTCATTTTGCTGCAGATAGATAGGAGAACCGAGTCAGAGGAAACCTTCCCTGACAACAACGGGTTCCCTCAACCGCCACCCCTGGGATCACAGCAACGGGTTCCCTCAACCGCCAACCCCCGGGACACAGCAACGGGTTCCCTCAACCGCCAACCCCCGGAACACAGCAACGGGTTCCCTCAACCGCCAACCCCCGGAACACAGCAACGGGTTCCCTCAACCGCCAACCCCGGGACATAGCAACGGGTTCCTTCAACCGCCAACCCCGGGACACAGCAACGGGTTCCCTCAACGGCCACCCCCGGGACACAGCAACGGGTTCCCTCAAACCGTCACCCCGGGACACAGCAACAGGTTCCCTCAACCGCCAACCCCGGGACACAGCAACAGGTTCCCTCAACCGCCAACCCCGGGACACAGCAACGGGTTCCCTCAACCGCCACCCCCGGGACACAGCAACGGGTTCCCTCAACTGCCAACCCCAGGACACAGCACGGGTTCCCTCAACCGCCAACCCCGGGACACAGCAACGGGTTCCCTCAACCGCCAACCCCGGGACACAGCAATGGGCTCATTGTATTGCAGTGTCTCCCTATACCTGGACCCGGCATGTGTTGGTGCTATACAAATATTACGATGAATGGTCGCACCCGAAGGAAGGAATCCAGCGATCCATTCTCCATAAACTCGGTGATGATCATGACGGGCGAGCTCTTGGTGACCACTCCTTCCAGATGGATGACGTTGGGGTGATCGAACTGCCCCATGATGCTGGCTTCACTGAGGAAATCTCTCCGCTGCTTCTCTGTGTACCCCGACTTCAGGGTCTTGATGGCCACAAAGATCTCCCGCTTTCCTGGCAGCTTCAGATGTCCACTACAAACTTCCCCAAACTCCCCTGCAGGAGACATGGAGGGGACACGGCCTATCATCGGCCATCTACCGACAATCCCCTTCCCCCCCCCCCCCCCGTATGGCAGATCAGAAGGGCTCTTACCTGCTCCAATCACCTGCTCGATCTTCACACAGGAAATGTCGATTTCTTTGGCAAACTCCCTCACGGCTTCGTTGGGATCCTCGTATGTGAAAGGGTCAATGTAAATTTTCATCCCTGGAGTCACTGCGGGGGAAGAGTGGCGGGAGAGACTCAGGATGACAGAGAAGAGGTGGACAGAGATGACACAGAGTGGAGGAGATCATGGAGGTGTTTGGTGGAGGATCTGATCTGTCTAGGGATGGGCTGTAGGGATCAGCTACACGGGTCCCGGAATCTATTGCTGCTGAGAAACATACGTCTGCAAAACGAAGGGAACAATCCACCTTCGGCACATCTCTGCAGTAACTGCCATTTCCCCGGGTCTCATTTCCCCTCTTAAACCGCAATCGCTGCCTAGCCTTTCCCAGTTCTCTCCTGGAGGACTACAGAACAACCTTGGAGATGAAAAGGGTGGTGGGGGGGGGTTCTGTAGTCCATCAGAACAGACCTGGGCAGGGGGGTATAGGAGGACCATGGATGGTGGGAATTTGAATGAACAAGAAGCATTATGAGGCTTGGCCCCGGGGAGGGTGATGGAGGATGGGGGCGGGTGGTGGAGGGTGCCGGAGGATGGGGGCGGGTGGTGGAGGAGGGTGGGGGCGGGTGGTGGAGGAGGGTGGGGGGGGAGGGTGGCAGGGCCCAGCAGGTGATGGATGATTTTTATGGCTTTTTGGATACATTACAAACTTAAGGGAACAAATTAGGCAACGAACCAACGAGAGAACGCGGCGCTAGAGGTGGAGAGGGCAGTCGGTACGTACTGTGTCCGCTCGTGTAGTGCTGCAGTTTGTCGGTGTACTCCGAGTCGGCCCGCTCAAAGCCTCGTCTTCTGGAAGAAACACAAAAGGCACTTAACCTGCGAATTGGACCATGACCGCACCCAGCACACCAAATCCCGCACCTTGGACAGCATGAGCGCGGCAACACCAACAGTGTCCATAGCGCTGCATAATGGGATGTCCTAACTCCAGCCTACAAGTGGGGTACGTGACCGACCCAACCGGGACAGGGGCCATCGGAGGGGACTGCAGCCTCTTGCCTACTGGCCATGGGCCCTGACATCTGAGGGGGCTCTATTCATGGGGAGGTGTGTACCTGGGGGGGGGGGGGGGGGGGAATTTGGAGCAGTTTACTTCGGATTCAAGTCCATGCACTCCGAAACACACTCTGAGCACTCGAGGGCCAGGATACAGATTTGGGGGTCTCTGTGCCCAAGCCAGCCTTGACTTCTTCACCCCTCCTGGACCCCGAGCAGATAATACTATAACCAGCTCAAAAGTATGTTTTTTCGGGGAGACATGGATTTGAATCCAAAGTAAAACGACTCCAAAGGTAACCCCCTCTGGCACATACCTCCCAAACAATAGAGCCCCCTCAGATGCCAGGGCCCATGGTCAGGCAAGCCTGCAGGCCCCTCCAAGAGCCCCTATCCCGGTTGCGTCTGTCACAGGGTAATGTACCCCCAAGATGAAACGGGCAAATACTAATTATGAGGACCCCACAGTGCCGACTCTACAGCAGACCAACAACTGCATCGCTGTTAATGGGGGATATCGAGGACCACATCGAGGACCACGCCGGTCCCATGATTGGCTGGTGCTCACATGACAATAAACGTCAACTACAAGCTACTCTACCTGTTGCAGACGATGATGATGACCACCAGGGCGATGAGGAACACCAGACCTGCGGCAGACGAGCCAATAATCAGCGGCAGTTTTTCCTGGAAGCTGCTCTGGTATTCGGCTGTGAGGAGGAAGAGGACGGGCCGTGTGTTAGTAAGTCTGAACAATCAATATCAGAACTGTCAGTGTGAGGAGGAAGAGGACGGGCCGTGTGTTAGTAAGTCTGAACAATCAATATCAGAACGGTCAGTGTGAGGAGGAAGAGGACGGGCCGTGTGTTAGTAAATCTGAACAATCAATATCAACGGTCAGTGTGCGGAGGAAGAGGACGGGCCGTGTGTTAGTAAATCTGAACAATCACCAGAACTGTTAGTGTGAGGAGGAAGAGGACAGGCCGTGTGTTAGTAAATCTGAAAAATCAATACCAGAACTATCAGCGTGAGGAGGAAGAGGACGGGCCGTGTGTTAGTAAATCTGAACAATCACCAGAACTGTTAGTGTGAGGAGGAAGAGGACAGGTCATGTGTTAGTAAATCTGAACAATCACCAGAACTGTCTGTGTGAGGAGGAAGAGGATGGGCCGTGTTAGTAAATCTGAACAATCAATACCAGAACTATCAGTGTGAGGAGGAAGAGGACGGGCCGTGTGTTAGTAAATCTGATCAATCAATACCAGAACTGTCAGTGTGAGGAGGAAGAGGACGGGCCGTGTTAGTAAATCTGAACAATCAATACCAGAACTATCAGTGTGAGGAGGAAGAGGACGGGCCGTGTGTTAGTAAATTTGATCAATCAATACCAGAACTGTCAGTGTGAGGGGACAGATGGCGGTTCAGGCTCCTCGGACGGGGACATAGGTCATGTGACCGGTTGATATGATCTACACGACAGATCAGGTAAATACACCCCCCAAGTATACGGTGACTGAGCAGATAATTCAGGTTCCTCTCACCTTCCGTCATGGTCTGGAAGTACATCTTTCCACTGTAGCGCCCGTAGCCGGCCACCGTCCGTGCTCTGACCTGGAAGACGTAGATGGTCCCAGCCTTCAGGCCGGACACCGTCACAGTGTTGGTGGGACTTTTCACCACAGAGGAATTGTGTTCGGTCAGGTCCTGGAAAGGCAAGGAAGGGGTTAATATAATCCAGTATGACTGCTGGGGCCCCTCCCCCCCATACAGCCGGGCCCCCAGTGCAATGAATGCACCCCATCTATGGGAAGACCACCAGTGCAATGAATGCACCCCATCTATGGGAAGACCACCAGTGCAATGAATCCACCCCATATATGGGAAGACCACCAGTGCAATGATTCCACCACATGTATGGGGGACCACCAGTGCAATGATTCCACCACATGTATGGGGGACCACCAGTGCAATGAATCCACCACATGTATGGGGGACCACCAGTGCAATGAATCCACCCCATCTATGGGAAGACCACCAGTGCAATGAATCCACCCCATCTATGGGAAGACCACCAGTGCAATGATTCCACCACATGTATGGGGGACCACCAGTGCAATGATTCCACCACATGTATGGGGGACCACCAGTGCAATGAATCCACCACATGTATGGGGGACCACCAGTGCAATGAATCCACCCCATCTATGGGAAGACCACCAGTGCAATGAATCCACCCCATCTATGGGAAGACCACCAGTGCAATGATTCCACCACATGTATGGGGGACCACCAGTGCAATGAATCCACCACATGTATGAGGGACCACCAGTGCAATGAATCCACCACATGTATGGGGGACCACCAATGCAATGAATCCACCCCATCTATGGGAAGACCACCAGTGCAATGAATCCACCCCATCTATGGGAAGACCACCAGTGCAATGAAATCCACCCCATCTATGGGAAGACCATCAGTGCAATGAATGCACCCCATCTATGGGAAGACCACCAGTGCAATGATTCCACCACATGTATGGGGGACCACCAGTGCAATGAATCCACCACATGTATGGGGGACCACCAGTGCAATGAATCCACCCCATCTATGGGAAGACCACCAGTGCAATGAATCCACCCCATCTATGGGAAGACCACCAGTGCAATGATTCCACCACATGTATGGGGGACCACCAGTGCAATGAATCCACCACATGTATGAGGGACCACCAGTGCAATGAATCCACCACATGTATGGGGGACCACCAATGCAATGAATCCACCCCATCTATGGGAAGACCACCAGTGCAATGAATCCACCCCATCTATGGGAAGACCACCAGTGCAATGAATCCACCCCATCTATGGGAAGACCATCAGTGCAATGAATGCACCCCATCTATGGGAAGACCACCAGTGCAATGATTCCACCACATGTATGGGGGACCACCAGTGCAATGAATCCACCACATGTATGGGGGACCACCAGTGCAATAAATCCACCCCATCTACAAAGGGAATAATATGGGATCTGGGCACCCATAAATATGGAGATGGTTACTTGTAACATGTCTGGGGGGGTGACACCCGTCCCTCACCCTCTTATGAGCCACCTACCAGAGGACTGCAGGGGTTGGGATGGGATCTGGGCGCCCATAACTATGGAGATGGTTACTTGTGACGTGTCTGGGGGGTGACACCCATCCCTCACCCTCGTATGAGCCACCTACCAGAGGACTGCAGGGGTTGGGATGGGATCTGGGCGCCCATAAACTATGGAGATGGTTACTTGTGACGTGTCTGGGGGGTGACACCCGTCCCTCACCCTCGTATGAGCCACCTACCAGAGGACTGCAGGGGTTGGGATCTGGGCGCCCATAACTATGGAGATGGTTACTTGTGACGTGTCTGGGGGGTGACACCCATCCCTCACCCTCGTATGAGCCACCTACCAGAGGACTGCAGGGGTTGGGATGGGATCTGGTTCCCGGTGTAGATGATGAAGCTGGGAGGTGACAGACATTCCTCACCCCCTATGTGTCACCCACCTTCTCATAGTACAGAAGCTCGTAGTCCAGTATGACCCCATTGGGTTGGTCCGGCTGAGACCAGGACAAGGTGATGCTGTCCACGGCACGGCTGACCTGATGCATGATGGAGACGGTGGATGGAGCTGGAAGACAGAAGAGAGCAGAGTCAGGCCCCATAATCTGGAAATCACATTTGCTGGGAAGGGAGATTACTGGAGCGGAAAGTTCACCTCTCCCGGTGACAGCCGGCTGACAGTCCGGTTAGCGGCAGACTCTCGGATCTGCACACAGGAGCTGTCAGATCTAATCTTGGAGCCTGGCCTACTTCTCCAGGTCGAGCAGAACCCGGCCTGGATGGGTGACCTACCGTCTCCTCACTCTTCAATCTCTGCACACTGGGGGGTCCGACCCTCGGTAAGGGGGGAGGGGGAGCGGACTTGTGTTTTCTTGGTATGGACTTCTCACTTCTGACCTCCATCAGGGCCCGTGCTATATACTCCTATATACAGTCAGGACTCCCTGCTAATTCCCTGAAGATGAGGTCAGCGCCATCTACTGCAGCCAGAACCCAGACAGCACCTCACAGGGTCACTGGGAGCGCCGGGCCACTTCCTCTTCATCACTAGTTCAGGTCTGAATGAGGTTGGTACATAGAAGGATCTCACCACTAACACGGTATATGAGAAGCCTGCAGTGGGCGTGTCTGGGAACTCCTCTCCTGCATCACAGATGAGTAAAAAGGGGTTCTCAGACCCCCAGCAGAAGGAAGAGTGCTGCGCCGATGTGTGGAGGAATCCTGCGCCGATGTCTGGAGGAGGAATCCTGCGCCGATGTCTGGAGGAGGAATCCTGCGCCGATGTCTGGAGGAGGAATCCTGCGCCGATGTCTGGAGGAGGAATCCTGCGCCGATGTCTGGAGGAGGAATGCTGCGCCGATGTCTGGAGGAGGAATGCTGCGCCGATGTCTGGAGGAAAGCTGCGCCGATGTCTGGAGGAAAGCTGCGCCGATGTCTGGAGGAATGCTGCGCCGATGTCTGGAGGAAAGCTGCGCCGATGTCTGGAGGAAAGCTGCGCCGATGTCTGGAGGAATGCTGCGCCGATGTCTGGAGGAAAGCTGCGCCGATGTCTGGAGGAAAGCTGCGCCGATGTCTGGAGGAAAGCTGCGCCGATGTCTGGAGGAATGCTGCGCCGATGTCTGGAGGAATGCTGCGCCGATGTCTCGAGGAAAGCTGCGCCGATGTCTGGAGGAATGCTGCGCCGATGTCTGGAGGAAAGCTGCGCCGATGTCTGGAGGAATGCTGCGCCGATGTCTGGAGGAATGCTGCGCCGATGTCTGGAGGAAAGCTGCGCCGATGTCTGGAGGAATGCTGTGCCGATGTCTGGAGGAAAGCTGCGCCGATGTCTGGAGGAAAGCTGCGCCGATGTCTGGAGGAAAGCTGCGCCGATGTCTGGAGGAATGCTGCGCCGATGTCTGGAGGAAAGCTGCGCCGATGTCTGGAGGAAAGCTGCGCCGATGTCTGGAGGAAAGCTGCGCCGATGTCTAGAGGAATGAATGCTGCGCCGATGTCTGGAGGAATGCTGTGCCGATGTCTCGAGGAAAGCTGCGCCGATGTCTGGAGGAATGCTGCGCCGATGTCTGGAGGAAAGCTGCGCCGATGTCTGGAGGAAAGCTGCGCCGATGTCTGGAGGAATGCTGCGCCGATGTCTGGAGGAATGCTGCGCCGATGTCTGGAGGAAAGCTGCGCCGATGTCTGGAGGAATGCTGCGCCGATGTCTGGAGGAATGCTGCGCCGATGTCTGGAGGAAAGCTGCGCCGATGTCTGGAGGAAAGCTGCGCCGATGTCTGGAGGAATGCTGCGCCGATGTCTGGAGGAATGCTGCGCCGATGTCTGGAGGAAAGCTGTGCCGATGTCTGGAGGAATGCTGCGCCGATGTCTGGAGGAATGCTGTGCCGATGTCTCGAGGAAAGCTGCACCGATGTCTGGAGGAATGCTGCGCCGATGTCTGGAGGAATGCTGTGCCGATGTCTCGAGGAAAGCTGCACCGATGTCTGGAGGAATGCTGTGCCGATGTCTCGAGGAATGCTGCGCCGATGTCTGGAGGAAAGCTGCGCCGATGTCTGGAATATTTCGGGTCGGGGGTCTTGAATATCGGATACTTTGCAGCAGACGTGAAGGGGTGTCCAGGCCTGGGAAGAACAGCGATCCCAACACCTCGGACGCCCTTCGGCATCCTCCCACATTGCTCTGGGCACATCTGAATATTTTACACGCTGAGTGAGATGCGTGCTGCTCCAGCTCTCCAGATTTCACCGGAATCCTCACACGGCGGCACATTGCTGGGATGTATGTTAGCAATTACCGTCAATCGCTGCCAGGAATTCCCTCTACGTGCCGGCAGACAATTAGGAGAAAGTTTCCTAAACAGCCGAGATTTGAGATTCCTCGCAGCAGTTTGGGGCTCAGGACAAATAACCTGCACACCAATACGGCGGGGGGAGGGGCGGATTATTCATCATTCTCCTGCGTGACGCACGTTGTCAGTTCTCATAGCCAAGTCAGCAGATCACCTGTAGCGGCTTCATCGATACTTCCCAGGAAAAGGGCAAACTCTCGATCTGACGTCCTGCAAGCCATCTCTGAGGGATTTGGCCGGAACACGGAACCTCTCGCCGCTCACATGACCTGGAGGCGCCAGGAGCTCAGAGCATTGGGGGAGGAGCACCATTATGAATGCTCACTGATCTTTCAGTCAATAAACACCGACACGTCTGACTTCTACGAAGAGATTTTTATTGAACGAGAAGGTGTTTATGTGAAACAAAGATGGAAGAGAGCGATGGGAGCTGGAGGCCACATCCCGAGGGAAGAGGAGGAAGATATGTCAAGATAATGGCGGCACAGAAGATTCTAGTGGAGGAGAGATGGAGGCCACATCCCGAAGGGAAGAGGAGGAAGAGATGTCAGAAGATAATGGCGGCACAGAACATTCTAGTGGAGGAGAGATGGAGGCCACATCCCACGGGAAGAGGAGGAAGATATGTCAGAAGATAATGGCGGCACAGAAGATTCTAGTGGAGGAGAGATGGAGGCCACATCCCACGGGAAGAGGAGGAAGATATGTCAGAAGATAATGGCGGCACAGAAGATTCTAGTGGAGGAGAGATGGAGGCCACATCCCGAAGGGAAGAGGAGGAAGAGATGTCAGAAGATAATGGCGGCACAGAAGATTCTAGTGGAGGAGAGATGGAGGCCACATCCCGAGGGAAGAGGAGGAAGATATGTCAGAAGATAATGGCGGCACAGAACATTCTAGTGGAGGAGAGATGGAGGTCATCAGATCATTCTGGAAGGAGGTTACCGATGCCGGCACTCATCAGTCATGCCAGATCATTCTGTTGCTCCTTATAAACATCACCAAACGCCTTATGATATGTGACAGAACTAAAGGCAAAGGGTGATGGTGTGCGGTACAGAGAGGAAGAGATCGGTGATGATGGACAGAGCTGGAGGAGATGTACAGGAAGAGATCGGGGATGATGGACAGAGCTGGAGGAGATGTACAGGAAGAGATCGGTGATGATGGACAGAGCTGGAGGAGATGTACAGGAAGAGATCGGGGATGATGGACAGAGCTGGAGGAGATGTACAGGAAGAGATCGGGGATGATGGACAGAGCTGGAGGAGATGTACAGGAAGAGATCGGGGATGATGGAAAGAGTTGGAGGAGATGTACAGGAAGAGATCGCGGATGACGGAGAGTTGGAGGAGACGTACAGGAAGAGATCGGGGATGATGGACAGAGCTGGAGGAGACGTACAGGAAGAGATCGGGGATGATGGACAGAGCTGGAGGAGATGTACAGGAAGAGATCGGGGATGATGGACAGAGCTGGAGGAGATGTACAGGAAGAGATCGGGGATGATGGACAGAGCTGGAGGAGATGTACAGGAAGAGATCGGGGATGATGGACAGAGCTGGAGGAGATGTACAGGAAGAGATCGGGGATGATGGAGAGTTGGAGGAGATGTACATGAAGAGATCGGGGATGATGGACAGAGCTGGAGGAGATGTACAGGAAGAGATTGGGGATGATGGAGAGTTGGAGATGTACAGAAGAGAGATCGGGGATGATGGACAGAGCTGGAGGAGATGTACAGGAAGAGATCGGGGATGATGGACAGAGTTGGAGATGTACAGGAAGAGATCAGGGATGATGGACAGAGCTGGAGGAGATGTACAGGAAGAGATCGGGGATGATGAACAGAGCTGGAGGAGATGTACAGGAAGAGATCGGGGATAATGGACAGAGTTGGAGATGTACAGGAAGAGATCGGGGATGACAGAGAGTTGGAGGAGATGTACAGGAAGAGATCGGGGATGATGGACAGAGTTGAAGATGTACAGGAAGAGATGAGGGATGATGGACAGAGTTGGAGATGTACAGGAAGAGATGAGGGATGATGGACAGAGCTGGAGGAGATGTACAGGAAGAGATCGGGGATGATGAACAGAGCTGGAGGAGATGTACAGGAAGAGATCGGGGATGATGGACAGAGTTGGAGATGTACAGGAAGAGATGAGGGATGATGGACAGAGCTGGAGGAGATGTACAGGAAGAGATCGGGGATGACGGAGAGTTGGAGGAGATGTACAGGAAGAGATCAGGGATGATGGAAAGAGCTGGAGGAAATGTGCAGGAAGAGATCGGGGATGATGGACAGAGCTAGAGGAGATGTACAGGAAGAGATTCAGGGATGATGGACAGAGCTGGAGGAGATGTACAGGAAGAGATCAGGGATGATGGACAGAGCTGGAGGAGATGTACAGGAAGAGATCGGGGATGATGGACAGAGCTGGAGGAGATGTACAGGAAGAGATCAGGGATGATGGACAGAGCTGGAGGAGATGTACAGGAAGAGATCGGGGATGACAGAGAGTTGGAGGAGATGTACAGGAAGAGATCGGGGATGATGGACAGAGTTGAAGATGTACAGGAAGAGATGAGGGATGATGGACAGAGCTGGAGGAGATGTACAGGAAGAGATCGGGGATGATGGACAGAGTTGGAGATGTACAGGAAGAGATGAGGGATGATGGACAGAGCTGGAGGAGATGTACAGGAAGAGATCGGGGATGATGAAC